ACCTACATAAGAATGACACAACACGTGGTAAATGTTGCAGCACGTCTAAAACAAAAATGATGCTTACCAACATAAACCACTATTCTCTGAACAGACACGATATAACCACTGATAACAAGTGTTTGTCTTCCTCAGTGACGTGTCATGCAGGAGATAAATTAGAGATAAACGCAACACGTGTACATGCACTTCGTGTTGCAGGAAGGCATTGATTTTCATACAGTCATGTAGTTGCATCTGTGGGGTGGAAGCATCTAGTGAGCATGCTCAGTTGTTTCTGATTCTTTATCAAGATGTAAAGAAGAAAAAATGACTTGGAAGGGCAGTTGATTGTTGATGCACAAGTATCTTCCACAGAAACTGCTTAACACACATCATATGGGGGTTCTAGTGTATACAGAGCTCATTATGTCACACAATGGAGGTTATGGTTGGTGGTAACTCAAAGACGTGTGAAACAGTGACTCTGTGAGGTAAATCACGAGAGCAAGAGAAATGTATGAGGCTGTACAGTAAGCTGTTAGCTGTCACTCAGCAAATAACAGAGGGGTGACAGAATAAAGGCAAAACATAAACCTATGAGAATTTGAGACTAATCAGTGCAGGTAATGTTTTTCAATCTTCTCTCCTCCAGTTTTGAACTGTAGCCTCAGTTTCCTGCTTTTAGCTGACAAGAACGACACCCGCTGCGGTCTTCTGCTGCTGTAGTCTGCTACCAGACTGCTGTGCATCCAAAGATGCTTTTCTGCAAACTTGGCTGTAACGAGATGTTATTTGGGTTACTGTCGGCATCAACAAGGCATTTTTGCACACAGAACTGCCGCTCGCTGGATATTTTCCCTTTTTAGACGGTTCTCTGTAAACACTAGAGATGGTTGTGTGCAAATATACAGTAGATGAGCGGTTTGTGAAATACTCAGACAAGCCTGGCAATATTATCTGCACCTAGCTGCTGCTGAGTGATTGGCCGATCAGACATCTGTGGTAACAAGCGGCTGAATAAGCGTACCTATGACATGGTATGTGAGTGGTTAAAAGGGTCTATGAACAACAGCTGTTGAAGTTCTTTGCTTGTTTTTGTTTTTAAATAAATTTCATGGTAGAAAAATCAGTAAAGCTGTCACCTCATCATATTTTCTGCTATTCAGCAGATCTTACTTCCTTTATAAACACAGTTTTCCCAGACTTTAGGATAATAAATGTATACTTTGGTTTTAGGGAAGCTCCTCAGCTCAGCGATATGACCTAAATCAGACTTTACCCACACAGAAAAGCTTTAAAGGGGATGAGCTCATTGTCATTCATTTTGGATTTGTTGACACCGGATGTAGTGTAGGAGGTAGCAGCTCTCTTCCTGTCTTCGAGACAGACAAACTACCCCCCTTTTTTCCACCTCGAACCGTGGACGGAGACTTTTATTAAAAACCTGCAAATTTAAAAACAAATATCTTTTTTTAAATTTGAGCTACTGACAGAGAAATGCGTTACCAAACAGCCCAGCTTTCCACTTTACAAAGCCTGTCAGTGAGCAAAGTGAAAAAAATTTAGAAAATCTAGAGAAGGAGCGACAGAAAAACCCGTTCTGACGTCAGTGGAAATCCCCTCTATCTCCATTGTGACTCTGACAAAAGTCAACACCTAAATGTATTTTAAAACACATGTTCCGATGCGTGGTTTAATCACACAGTCGTATATTTTTGTCCAGCTTCACGTAAACAAAAGACAAAACCTGTGAGCCCTCCTTTATTTGAATCAATAAAGGAGCATACCGTCAATTCTTTCTGTGTCCGGTAATTCTCCCTTGCAGCCGCGCACGGCCTCGGCAGGGTTATTATCATCAGGGTATTACTACAGGTGACCCAGTAAGAGGTAACCACCTGGTTTAGTTTCGGTTTTGTGCTCGGGGGTTTTCACCGGTTGGTATGATGTCCCTGCCCGGCGCTCACTGGCTTCCTCATCCGCCCGTCCCCTGCTGCCGCCGCCGCTGCGGGGACGTGACTGTGAGCTGTGCTTCCGAGCAGTGAGCGTCGAGGAGCATGTGGTAAACTTTGGACCGCTTGCGTAGTTGTTTTTGTTTTACGGTTGCGGAAGACTGAAGGGGAGCTGCCGCCGCTGTTTCTCCTGGAAACGAAACTTTAACGGCGCGGATCGAGCTCACGTAAGAAAACGACACCGACGCGTTACTGTTATCGTTATTATTTGATGCTTTGATATGTTTAGAAAACCTTTTTTGTGTGTTCCGCTAAGAGAAGCGAGATCGTTTCCTGGAATTCAGATCTAATAGAAAAGCGTTTCCCAAACACCCAGGCAGGTCCTAATAGAGCCGAATCATCGGGCCATTGTTTACAGGCTGCTGCTAGATTACAGTTTATTTCTATAAATTAGATCTTTGGCTGGGTGGGAGCTGGAGTGGCGGATTGGCCGTTAAAGCGGATGTTTTGTATGGAGCTGGTAATACTATATGAGTCTTGTTTACATGAACTCCGATGATTTCAGGTACAAAGGTGGCGGAGACGTATTTGTAATGCTGTCATTCTGTGCCCCCTGCTTTGAAATGTGGGTAAGCCTGCATTACAGCGGGTGTTCCCCTAGCCGTTTGACTTGTTGCAGATGACTGTGAGTTACTATATGAGTATTTCCACAAAAAAAGGGGAAACGGTTCCCCTCCAGCCAAGACCTGCTGCATTCAAACACTGCCTCGGTATCACAGGGCTCCCATTATTTCCAGCTTCATGTTTTAGTTGTTAGACTCTTCTAGAGCGTGTTTGCATCAGCTATACCCGTGTTTATTGATAACAGGCCATTGGAGCTTCCCTCAGTTTAGGATAGCTTTCTTCTCATTGGCTACATCTGGCAAACAGAAGGCTTGAGCAGAAAATATACACGTAAATGTCATTTTGAGTACACTGTAGTTGTTACATTTATTGTAATCTGGCCAAATGACATGTACTTGAATAGTGAGGATATTTTCCTTGATTTCTTATTATTTAAAATAAATGAACTGTTGATTTTATATATTTCACTTGCATTTTATTCAGAATTATTGCATCATGTTTATGAATTGTGTTTTTGAGTCTGCTTGAAATCTACACCCAATAAGCAAGTCATAACGGCAAACCCTAGAAATTAAGTGATTGCAACCGCACAGGTATACATGCTGGTACCTGCTTGTGTCAGTTATTTTGTAGGTTCTATGCAGGCCCGACGCAGGGCTCTATGTTTAGGTTGAAGATAGACCAGGTTGCTAGTGACCTGCATCAGGTTGAGGTAGGGTTAGGTTTTCATAGGTCCTCTTTTTATGGATAAATGAGGAATGAGTATATAAACATGGGCAGCTCAGCTTGACAGGTTTGGAGGCAAGGCTGAGGTGGTTTGGACACGAGTAGAGGAGGAAAAGAGGAAGACCGCAGAGGACGTTTTGGATAATAGTGATGGAGAACAGGCAGAAAGAGGGAGGCAACCTCTAAAGAGAGCATCTGAAGTAGGAAGAAGAAGAGTTATCCAGCTGATCTAGACCTCAGAAGCCTAACAGTTGAAACCACAAGCTATACTCTGAACTGGGTGAGCCAAGACCCTCAGGTTCCATGTGCAGTTTCAGGCTTGGAATAGGCTGACAACATTTACTAACCAGTAACTATTTTGATGGTAAACTGATTATGTTTAGATTTTGGACTATTGAACTATTTTTAGATATTTCTTTACATCATTTACGGTCGAAAGAGAGAAAAGGTCAGCATGTGACTGAGGTGTCCAAAAGCTGCACTGACTTGAAACTCCTGTCTTTCGCTGATGTCAGGAAAGATTCCCAGCAGAATGAAATAGAGGAAATGACAAGCTTCCCTCAGACGGGAAAATTCGTAACTGGTTTTCAGCAGGAGCTGCTTAAAGATAGTTAAAATCTACTGTGAGACCTGGTTGTCTCTCATGCTTTTTTTGGACTACGTGAGTTCACCTTTCTAAAACTGTAAACATCTTTTTACCCATGTTAGAAAAAAGCCAGCTGTAGTTATCCAAAACACCAGACACTCTAATAACTAAGATATTGACTGGCAGCAGTCTTAGTTTATATGTTTTCTTCCTTTAACCTTTTTTAACCCGACGAATACTGAAATGTGTTTTTCGCAGTATGTTCGACCGTCTGTCACCAATTTAAGAAGAAAGGATGGATGACGAGAGAAGCGACGCAGGCGGAGGAGAGGCGGAGTTGGAGGATGAGTTTGCGTGCGCCGGGATGCTGCGGGGGTCTCTGACCTCCCTGCACAGCACGGTGGAGCGGATATTCAGTGTGGCGTTCAGCATCGGGGCGGACGATTTGCCTCACGGCAGCAACGGCCAAATATGGCTGAAACTGCGAGGGCCGAGCGCCAGTGTGAAAGCCGCCAAGGTGAGGCCCTGCTCTTGTTTATAATGCCCTATCAGTCCAGAACAGAGATAAGTTATTAGGCAGTGTGGCTCATAAACACGATGGAAGTTGACTTTGCCAGAGGTTGCTCTCTGCAGTAACCTCTGGCCAAGTCCAGTTTCACTTATCAGTAATTCTAACTGGTAACTGAAACTGGACTTGAGTTCACATTAGTGGTGCTAACTTTTCCTTATCCAGTGTCACTGCATTGATTTTACGCTTTAGTTTAAAAAGTTGCCACAGCAGTGAAAGAAAACAAGCCAGAATACCATTTATGGGGAGCTTTAGCAGTTAAGTAGTAATCATCAGCTGATAGCTGAAACGCCACTCTGTTACCAGAGTGGGAGGGGCGTGACGGTGGGAGGGGCGTGACAGTGACCCATATTTGCTTTATAACCACAACAAACTCACTGTGATGAACTATACACCTTCTATTTAGAGCTGGATCAGGTGACCTTAGTTACATGTTTCTTTCTATTATTGTATCATCTTTACATTACAATATAAAGTCTTGAGGCCACTGTTGTTGTGATTTGGCTCCATATTAATAAAACTGAACTGAATTAATGTATGTGCTGTGACTTACTTAGAAGTACTGCAAAGAGAGCCAGAGCGACATCAAAATGTCCAAAAAGCACACCTCGCTGCTGCTAATCAAGCAGCAGCGAGATAAAGTGTGCGTCTGAGTAGTCAAATATTTGCGTACAGTAGCTGGAAATTATTTAAGAGCTGTGAAACTGAAGCGCTTTCATCACCCCTACTCTCATTTCTCGGCAATATCCCTTTTAAGGAATATTTGCCCGTTCGTTACTTTGAGCTTCTCATCACGATCTGTCAGTTCAGGAGGCCTTTTCTTTCTCTTTTAGTGTTTAATCTTTCTTGCATCAACTTTCACAGGAAATCTTTTCTTCTTTATCCGAATCACAGCCTTTATCTCAGGGGCCGCCCGAGCCAGTTTTTGGCCTTTTTTTTTGCCTAATCACTCAAGTAAACAAGTTTCCTGTGCAATCATTCAGATTTTACTGTTATTTCAGTATCGTCGCCCGCCCCGCTTTCTCCATTGTGCACCATATTTCTGCATCCTCGTGCAGGGCTAACCCACTTTTGTCATTAATCCAGCTGTAAATTTAGTTGGGTTTTTTGTGTCTACAGTCTACTGAGTGTTAAGGGACCATTCCCAGGTAATGACTCATCAAAGTTTTTTAAGTGTTGTTTCACCCGTTAGGTTTCAGTCCACATATGCAAGTGCCTGTTGACACATGCAGTCAGAAAGATTCGTTCACTCATACAAAGACTAGCAGACTGATGCACTGCAAAGTCAGTCGCTGTAGTGTAACAGTAGTAGCTGTAATCACACCATTGTCGGGGCATATAGGCAGTTTGAGAAGACATGCAAACCATACGTAGGTGGACTTCCTGTTTGCTAAAGGCCATTTTGGGAGACGCAAATATCAGCTTGACTGAGTGATATGTCAGTGTATTGTGTTTTATTTATTTTTATATTGTTTTACTGTCCTGTTTTAGCTGTGTCTAAAAACAATTCTCCTTCATGTGCAGACCGCAGCTGTGGATGTTCAAACGAGAATAGTAGGTGTAAAAATGATCAGCGGAGGTGGAGCTAGAGTCAGTCAGTGGATCTGCTGCAGCTGCTGTCAGCGAGATGATTTTATAAACATAAACTATAATAAACTGCTTATTACCTTTCCTGCTTTCTTTAACGTCCGCAGCTAGATTAGAGCGTGGACGTTGCAGACTTTGAAACTTTAGCACAAATAGGGGAAGGTGGATCTCCTGTGGATGGACTTCAGTGGGGTCAGGGTTCAGTCATTCGCACCCACCGCATCGGTCTCTTTGTGCGCCAACGGTGACATCATCACACAGCCAGAGCCATTTATGCTCGCCACAGCTTTTGCAGCAACAGCAAATGGTACGAGGTTACAAAACTCTAGAGGTTCATCATCAGCCAAAACGAACTCTGGTTTGTTTTCCCCCTCGGTGCGATTCGTTTGTGCAGATGTGAACACGGTGATCACAGCAAAACAACAACTGCACCGAGACCATTTAGAGGAGGTGGTCTTGGCTCGGTCCCAAACAGACTACGAAGCGTGTTTATGGTGAGAACGTGATCTGACCTCAATCTGACTGCATGTTTGAGCTAAACGCCTTCGCGTAGCTAGATATGCTTTACGAAATGTAAAGTGTTTCCCAGATAAACACAAATTTATCCATGTTATCCACTAGGTAGTACACAATACCTAGACACATCCGGCTAGTAAGTGGACTGACCGTTCTCGTGCAGTCAGTCCTTTGGTGTCTCTGAACTTCCACCTTTCTCTCTAAGTGTAGAAAATAATCAAAACCTTAAATATTCCCAGCACGATGCATGGACAGAGCATTCAACTCTGGCTCTTCCCATGGAGCTTCTTTTTCATAATTACTAAAGTTTAACAACACTATTTTGTTTTTTTGTTTGTTTTTTTCAGTTATTTGTGAAAGGAGTTGTGAACCAGGAGGAACAGCAGGAGATTAAGTATCCTGGGGTGCTTCACTGTGTCTTCTGTGGAGCCAAAGGCCTGTTCATGGACAGCCTGATCAAAAGCACCTCAGCACATATAGTGGTAAGAGCTCAACAACAGGCCGGTTTCACAGTAATAGTTACTATAGAGAGGCATTTGTTACACCTTTGTTTGCCTACTACATTGGTTCTCTAACCTTTTAATAACTTCATCATTACTGAATAGATATTTTTATTAAAGATGCACAAATTGTAGAAATCTGAGCTGATATTGATATTAGAATAACAACAGTTTTTCTTCTTTTTTTGTATTTATTTCCACTTTTGCCCCAAATAAGCAAAGAAATCCTCCTTATAAACAATACCTGATCTGTTTTAAAGCCTTTCAGTTTGTCATTGCCCAATTTTTAACGGGTAGCAACCAATGTGACACAACTGATGTGCATATAATTATGGGTATTAATGTCATGGTCATTTGGGGCATTTAATGATTTCTTTGAAGTGTTCTTTTTCCAGGGTGGGATAAGCACTGCATACATAATCTTTATTGACTTAAAAACAAGAATTGTGTTCACCAGTTTCAATTTGTTATGGATTGTCTCTAGTCATGATATCTAGAACCCATTGGGAGTGTACAGAAGTTCATTTCTGGGTCTCAGAGACTTAAAATGAAAAAAACACATTAAATGAAAGTAAAAAAGGTTTAAAGCGTGTAATACATTAACAAGCTTAGTGTGCCATTATTCACTGATGATGCAACAAAGTGACTAATAGTGTGATATCAAGAGATTACAGTCCTGTTATTCCAATAAGAAATCACATTATTAGTCAATATCAGTTTTACGCCATCAGATGGAAATGTGTCACACGCCTTCCACAAGTTAAAAACTGCCTTCAAAACTAAGACCGTGAAACAGTTTTTGGGAACTTCTGGTCTGTTCTTAAGACGACTTATAGAACGTAAAAATGCAACTCTGCATTCTGACTATGATTTGTTGCCCATAAATTTCTTGGAACGTATCTTAATAATCTTACTTAAGAGGAAGAGGAAACTCCAGTAAGAATATTTTGAGGTCCCAGTTTTAATGTGTGTAAATGTTTAAATTAAGGCTTAAGGAGTGAGTTTTATGGGTGACTACCTGATTTCCAGGTAGGAGCTAAGTCCATGTCCATGCAGGACATGGACCCAGTAGTTTTGTCCATATGGTGCACTTTTGCTTTACTATGAGCTTGAGGTCGTCTGGCCATTCTCCTCTGACGTCTGGCTTTTCAAACTACTGGCACCAATATCCATGCACATTCAAAATCACTTGCTTGGTTGATGCTTGGTTTGAACTTGAACGGGTTGTTGCCATGTGACTGGCTGATTAGACATCTGCTTTAATGAACAGTTGAACAAGTGTACCTAACAAAGTGCCCTGTAAGTGTATGTAACTGTACTGGCAGATTTCCACACCTGGAGAAGCCATAGACTGTAATGAAAACGTTGCCACCCTGACACCTACCATTGGCCTCTCCCATGGGTTCATAATTCCATGACTTAACTTTACCATTACAGCCGTCACCATCCTGCTTCCTTTTTTTATTTTCTCAGTCTTTTTTAAATAGATTCTATATTTGAATATGAAGAATTTGTAGGCGAGAATGGTATTTACTCTGTTTGGAGTGTGCTTATAGTTTTGGTTGCACGCAGGTGAATCATCCAGTCTTTCAAGTAGTGATGGTTTATGTTGAAATGCAAATACTGAAATACTCATTGGATACTGTCAGACAATGATTTGTCTTTCTATTAAGTTTTTATTGAATTTTCATGCATTGTATGATATAATGGTCCGTGGATACAAGACCTGAAAATTAACAGTTGGTCCACAATCCATTAAAGGGAACAGCAAAGGCAAAATAAATAAATTAAACATTGATCTGTTTAAGTAGAACTCTTTTATTCTTTTGTTTTGGTCTTTTTTGGTCTAAATGATCTGTTATATTATTATTTTTCAGTCATTGGTAGAACTCAGATTAATGCCTTTCTGTCTTTCTCCTACCAAATCAGGTCGGCTCTCCAGGATTCCTGCTCATATCTGGCCTGGTGGAGCCGGTGGTGCGAGCCTACTCTCTTATTACAGACCTGGTAGAGAGGTATGAGGGCACACAGTCCAAGCGCATGGGGGATGGAGGCTCAGGTGAGTCCCTGGATTCACGACGGGCCTTTAAAACTCTGGTGGAGAAGTGGGAAGACAGGCACATCCTGGATCTTCTTGTGCTGCCAGGATCAGTAAAGGAAATCCTGTTGGACTTGGTGAAAGAAACGGGACTTGGATCAAGCCCTAGTTCATCACTGACTGATGTAAATACAGAGGCAAGGCCACATGGGGATTCAGAGGATAGGTCTAAAATACCCAGTGCCCTAAAGCAAACAGTCCCTGATTCTTCTACCACTACTGAGCGATGGGCTGAAGGGATGGCTGCAGGCGCAGGAAATGACTTTGCAAATAAAGACTCCTTCCAGGCTTTTTCCATGTCTGCAGGCACCCGAGGAAGGGCAGAGGGTGCTGAGGAAAGACCCGCGCATTCACCACAGGAGGTGGGAGAAGAGCACTTGGGCCAAGCAACAGCATCCGGGAAGGAAAAAGAGCAGGAGTTGCAGCTGTCGATGGGAAACAAGGAGTTTTGGCTTCTTTTGAAATTCTTTACCGCCATGGGATACACAGAGGAGGTTGTGAAACGAGTGCTTGCCAGAACAGGACCTAAAGAGGCATCGCAGATTCTGGACTTAGTTCAACAGGAGCAGGACCGCAGTGACCAAGAGCAGAGGAATCGGGTTCTCCCAAACCCAAAGAGGGAAGACGCTGTCGACCTGAATCAGACAGAGAAAAACCGACCCTGTGAAACAGAACACAGAGAAGATGGGGGAGAAATAGCAGGAGGCGGTGGAGCCATACGTAGCGATGGAGAAACAGAAGAAGGACGAGAGGGGGAAGACGCAACAGGGGATGCAAGACACAATCAGGGAAAAGTCAGCATAGACGTAATGAATAAAGAGCAAGAGGAAGACTTTGTGCTGGGGGTGTTGAAGAAAGCGGCAGCCAGCTGTGGGTACCCCGAACAGAACGTAACCAAACTGTACAACTTGTTGCCTGATGGATCGACTCACCAGCTGCTCCTGCAGCTGCAGAAAGAGGGAGTCAAAGAGGCAGGAGCCTTCAGAGAAGGACCGAGAGAGATGGATGATGTGGTCTTGGACACTGGCGGGTCAAAACTTCAAATAATACCAGAACTTCAGCCTTATACACCTCCAGAAGAGAGAGAATTCGATGGGCGAGAAAAGATAAGGGTGTCAAGGATTGATAGTAGTGTCCCTATTGAGGGACGAGATATTTGGAATAATAAACCCCAGCAGTCACCGGTGACCTTGTACACCTCACAGCAAAAGCAACACCAGCCTTCAAAGTCACAAACTCCTCACCACATCATCCTACCTGGGGTCAAAGGGCCACCAATGCCTACTTATGCCTCATCCATGGATCCTCAGCTCACCAATTTCCAATCGCATAAGCAACAAGGCAACACCAACTACTTGCCTAATCCATCTCCCACAAAACAGAATCATCATGCTCAGAACAATGGCTCAAAGCACTCCTTTAAGCAAGCCCTTCAAGCTCCTCAGCCTTTATTCCCTGGCACGAAGGACTCGTCTCCCACCAGAGCGAGGGACAAACAGGGTTTCGTGTCTACTCCTTCAGTGGTGGTGACAGGAGAGCAGCGATTCTTGGAGAGCCTGCAGATCCCCTTTGAACTCAAGCTGACAGACCAGCCCGGAGACCCAACACTGAGGACGATCATAATTGATGGGAGTAACGTGGCTATGAGGTAAGAATTACAGCAAATAAAGGTCGTACTGGGAAAATGCGGTAAAGTATACAATAGAGTAGAAGATTTATTTTGGTGGGGTGTTTATGAGAAGGAAATATGAGAACAGGAAATATAGATAGTCCTGTTAGGCCAAATGTGAAGGACTTCTTGAGAATTTGAAAACATATTTAGAAATGAGGATCTACTCTTTGTGTCCTTTTGCTCTAAAAGTAAAAGCTTAAAATGAAAGATATAGTTATTATTCCAGCTTAGTAGTACATTATGCCACAGTTTGAATGTGCATGATTAGTTGAGTGCATGTTTACACATTTAAACATGTTATAACAATGGAATTGTGCATTAATAAGATACCCATGCTGCAGTGGGCCTCTGTAAACTTTCAGGGAATGGTGATTGTATTTTCTCATGTAATAGATGGTAAAGGAACACCTGTGGCTGATGTGTAGACTCTGTTTAAAGATTTATAAAGTTGTGATGGCAGTGTGTTCATTAATAATTGTAGTCTGCGATGGGCTTACCTACCCAGCGAGTGGGAGCAGGAAGATAAACTGACCCAGAACTATTGGCGAAGCATGACGTTTACACAGAAACACAAAGCGAAGGGAAGGAACAGAGATCTATGCATGTAGGTGCTAAACAGTTTTTTAAAGGGTTTGATGGGTAAGAGTAGGCACCATCAACAAATGCATATGCTGCAGTCATTTTTACCTCAGAGCTGGGAGTTGCATTGGTCCCGATTTGACCGTGTGATCAGTTACGACCCGGCTCAAAAGCCGCAACAAAAAAGAGAGGAGACGAATACCAGATTGTAGGTGAGAAGAGGTTTTAATCCTAAAATGCATAGCAGGTTGGCTAACATGGCTGGTACCACCAAGGCACGGCTGGTGAGGCTTTTTGAAAGCCTGCCTCAGATATGCTTTTATCAACACCTGACTAGGTGTGGCCAATTACCACCAGCTGAACACACTGAGGAGATTAGGGGCTGCAGAGGGACGTAGCAACACATTTTGGTTTCTTCGAACTGGATGGGTAAAGCCTGATGCTCTTCATATGGCTTATTTGGTGAACCACAAATACATGATAGTGGTAATAGCGAGTGCTAGTTTTGCAGTTTCACTACTGTTTTGCTATCCTGGATTGGGAAGTCTGGTTTGGTGGGCCTTCTCTGACTTTTCGAGTGGAAATTCCAACTTGAAGGGTTATTCTGGTGGAAAATATAAGTGCGACATATCATCAGAGATACAGATGTCAAACAAAGGGGTGATAAGGTCACAAGGTCCGATACTGCGGGGAATTAGGAACTGTTTCGTGATTAGCATAGTGACATGTAGCCTAGTTCCTCTTAGATGTATTTTTATCTGTTGCTTTTGATTGGACAGCACAATCGTCAAAAGTCAGAGGTTCCAAGAACTGGAAGTCAGCATATTATTCTTCACTGCACTTCAACTTCAATGTTAATGTTTGTTGGAGACGCACATAGTGATAAAAGAGAAAGAAAGTCCAGTGAACTGTGATCATATGAAGCATTATTTGTAACACTTTAATGGCAATCTTCATTTTTCCACAGTCACGGACTGGGTCATTTCTTCTCCTGTCGTGGAATCGCTCTGGCTGTACAGCACTTCTGGGACCGAGGCCATCGTCAAATCAGCGCCCTAATTCCACAGTGGAGGCAAAAGAGCGACCCCAGGGTCAAAGGTAACGCTTTAAAACTTAATGTGTTGCTGAAATTGAACTCTTGTCAGTGTCAGGAGAGTGTCATAACGTTATCACATAATGATGTTCTCTTCTCTCACACGTAGCACACAGCAGGAAATGTGAGCAGTTTTTTTATTACTGGAATACACTTGGTTTAAGTTTTGACTTACAGACATGTGAAAAAGAAAGTCTTTCACATGACTGTGAATAATTAGGTACACCCAATGAATTGTTGACTTTATCAGTCTCTCATATCATTGTGGAGGAATTTTGGCCCACGTTACAAAATTGCTTCAGTTCGTTGAGGTTTTCAGGCATGAGTTGGTGCGCAGCTCTGTTAAGGTCTATTCACAACATTTCAGTCGCGTTAAAGTCTGGAGTTTTTTCACAGCACCTTGATTTTTTTCTTTTTCAGCTATTTTGTTGTAGATTTGCTGCAAGTGCTTTCTATCTAACATTCACATGCATTCATTCCCTGATGGATGCATCTATCTATGGATGTTAGCATCCATAGATAGAAGCTTGGGCAACATGCCCAAGGATATTAGCAGATGAGCTGCTCTACCTCCTGGGCTACAGCCAACCCCATGCTGTGCATTATGGTATTATATTAGCATCTACACCAGAAATCTTGTTGTTTTTTCAGATGTCGCCTTTTAAATCTAAGCTGTGCTGTCATGTTCTTTTTAGAGAGATGAGTCTTTCTTCTGGCCGCCCTTAGAAAACAAACCATACTTATTTAGTCTTTTTCTAACTGTGCTGTCACGAACTTGCTAACTGAGCCCTGTAGAGTCTGAGATGTAGCCATTGGTTGTTGTTTTTTGTGTGTGTGGTTTTGTTTTGTTTTTACAGTTTCTGTGTATAAATTATTATTATTCAAGTCATTACATTTTTGTCATCATAAGTGAATGCTTGGCTAATCTGGCTCAGCTGTAGAGCAGAGGTTTCAGGGGGCAGTGCCAGGAGAGACTAGTATGCGTTTTCGGTGTCCCATTTAACACAGTAGCATCCTCGGGCTGGGAGAGAACCTCACGGGTGGCAGCTGGAGAAGCCAGAAGAACTGAGCGAAAACCGGGCATTATTTGAGAAGACAATTTTAAAAAGTGGAAGTCAACAAGAAAATAAAGAACACAGGCAAAGCCGAGCACTGTGTCCAAGTGTTTGTGTGCTGGGAAAAACCTGCTAGACTATGGAAGCATGAAGGGTGTATTTAATTTTTCAGAGCACTGGTGTAGGTAGGAGAGCTGTGTAAGCCGAGAGCATGCAGCTCTCAGCTTACATGACACCTTCCTGCTTTTACTGCCAGAGTTTACTGGCCAATACTTCCTTCTGTTCTCACATAGTTGCCACCAAGGAGCTGACAGGTTAAAGTCAGATAAATATAAAGCACTGGAAGAGTGACGTGTGTAGACTTTAGGGCCCCAGCTAAGAAAAATCTTGATTTATGATTCATTTCTTGGTTATTTTTTTGTTGAAGTAAGAAACTTAGTTTAGTCTGTCAGAGGTAACAAATGTGTTGCATAAGACACCGTGTCTCCGATCACAATCGAACCAGCAACTTTTGCTTGCTAAGCAAATGTGTTAAACTCAGTTAATAAAAACAAAGCTTTACTGTTGATGAAGCTCAATTTAAATGAGTGATTGAAACTGCAGCTTTAGAAAATATTTCACTAAAAGGTTTAATTCCAAAAATTCTACTTCATGGCTATAACTTCCGCTCTATGAGTGTGTAGCTAGCATCTCATTGGGGTCAGGCTGTGACCCCATTGTTGTGCGTGTTTGCTCCTTGCTCCTGCTAACTCTGGATTCTGCAAAAGACTTCAAACAAGAAAACAAGTCATGCTTGGTGAATGCAGACTTCATGTGAGCTTTCAGCATGCGTGTGGGTGTTTCCCCTCATAGCAGACTGCTTCGTAAACAAAGAGTTGTTTGTGTCTGTCTCTCAGAGAAGCACTATCTGACAGAGCTGCAGCAGCTGGGCCTGCTCTCCTACACACCATCCAGAGAGGTCCAAGGCAAGAGGATCAGCTCGTATGATGACAGGTACAAGACACTGAGATATTGTTTTGTTTACACAACCCATCACATTTCATGTGGTTTTGTTACTGTACACACTCCAGTCTATCTGGATACAGTTCAGATAAGCCAAAAATTGATACCCATGTCTTTGTGCTTATGCAGAATGATACTGCAGCACGCACAGAAGACAGGCGGAGTGATCGTGACCAACGACAACCTGAGGGACCTCTTGGACGAGTCCCCCGTATGGAGGGACATCATTAAAAAGAGGTAGGGCAGTGCTGCGCAGTCAGGGGGACTGAAATTTTGATTTGCACTGAAATGGTTTCACTCACATTTACCAAATGTAATAAAAAATCAGTCTCCGGACGTTTTTGTCCATTTTTATCTAAAAGATCCAAAAAGTTGGGTTGACAGAAAATACTGTCAATACCCTACACAATGTTTTTCACTAAATACATTTTTCCTCTGTGATCTGTTGCTGCTCGTCCAGTCTTCTTCAGTACACTTTTGTCGGGGATCACTTCATGGTCCCTGATGACCCTCTTGGAAGAGGAGGGCCTCACCTGGATGACTTCCTGCGTTCAGAGCATAGGTAACAGACCCAAGATATCCGATCTTATCCAATCCTTTGAGAATAGTTTCACATGATGCTTCATTTTCCTTCTCAACATCTTTCAGGAGTCCAAATCCAGGAAATCACTCTTTTGCTGGCTCGGCCTCATCTTTCAGTTCCTCCAAACAGCCACGCTCCCAAACAGAGGTCATCAACTTCCGTGACCGAACACTAGGGGGCGCACTGGACGCTTTGGGAGCAGCCGGCAGGGGTAGAGGGAGGGGGCAAGGAAAGGGATGGGACATGGGACAGAAGCAGAAGCAGTATGGTGCTACAGGTCATGGCCAGGGGGTCCGGACCGAGAGGAGTCCTGAAGAAACAGCCAGCCTGAGAGAGCAGCTCTGTCAGGTTTTCCCTAATCAGGACAACATGGTGACGCTGGTGCTGCAGTGCCACTCGGCAGAGACGGACATCAACGTGCTGTCTGATCTGATTTTGGAGCAGCAATCAACAAACTAGAAATCTCTCAGTTTTAGTGTTTCACCATAGAGTTTTCTCACAGAGTTGTTATTCATTTTCTCGTGTGACTATAGACTCTATGTAAAAGATGGATTTTAGCAACTGTGACATCATCCATTGGTTTGTGGTTTGTTTGTTTTTTTAATCAGAACCAATGAAGGTGAAGTGGATTTAGCTGAGAAAATTAGAATATTGTACACTCAGTTTTGGCCAGTGTTGCCAACTTAGCGACTTTGTCACTATATATAGCGAGTTTTCAGGCCTCCTCAGCATCTTTTTTTCTAAAAAGCGACTAGCGACAAATCTGGCGACTTTTGGTGGTGTTATTAGGAAGACTTAGAACCACTTTTTGACGTGAAAGCACGTATCACTCTTTCTCTCAACAAGCAGCGGATGTCGCCATGGGCACCTCGCCTGTGCCAAAGCGCTCACAGGTGACGGATTGTTGTCACGCAGCAGTCGCAACCCAGCTGCTGTCAGAGCAGGAGATGTTGATCCCCTACGCCTCCAAAACTGCAAATGAATGGCGCATGAGTGACTGACTGTAACACAGTCAGTTCTTCTTTTGCTCAAACTTTTTGCAAATCACAAAGTTTAAAGCTACTTAAAAACACACACACACAAAGTAATTCTGCCAGAGTGCCTATTTCAGGTCACTTTTGCCAGTACCCAGCCCAGACACAGGAGGTGGGTTAGAATTGTGACATAAAAAAAACAATAATTGCTAAAAGAAATTTAATTTGTAGTTCTAAATATATTCTAAATTAATTTATTGTGTTTTTTACTCACTTTATGTCTCTTCCACGATATTTCTCTCTCCTACAACATAGGTTACAATTACATAAGCATGACCAATTGTGCAAATTAGGTAATGACGTTATTTAGCAACTTCTAGGACAGCCAATAGCGATTTTCCTTACTGAGGAGTTGGCAACACTGGTTTTGGCTTCACATTTCAAATTCGGAGGTTACATCCATCTCCCATATACAGTCTGTTTGGATATAGCACAACAGCAACTACAAAGATAGATAGATAGATAGATAGATAGATAGATAGATAGATAGATAGATCCTTAATTAAAGCTAAAACTAGACCAGCTCTGTCAACTGAACCAGAAAAATCCCTCAGTGATTGTCAGTTCATTATTTGTGTTTGTTGTTTTGATTTTTCTTTCAGAACTATACAGATGTATTATTCTTCTACATTTATGCATTGCTGTCAGTGTTTATTGTGTATTTTATGTTAGTCTGATTTCTGTCAAAGCACCAGTAAAACTGAAGACATTCCAGTGTAGCTTTAATGCCAAATACTGGCATGCTAACACACCAAACTAATGTGAATATATGGTTAATATATTCTGACACATTAAATTGACATCCAAAAATTTGGTCAAGACATAAGTTAGGATGCTAAATCACCTAATTGACACACAAACATATGGTTAACGCCTTAGTTAGCTTGCTAATTACCAAACTAACACATTAGCATGAATATATTAGCTAGAATGTTAACATACATAGTTAGCGTTTTAGCATGCAAAAACACCAAATTAACATTTTGGTTCTGACACACCAAATTAATGTAAATATATATAAACATATTGGTTAGCATGCTAATATTGACATTTATCTTTAGTACAGCTTCCTAGGTTTAAGTTGGTTTTATGGTTGAGCAGAGGTAGCAGGGACTGCCCGTCCACCTGCAGTGAGCGCTGTTGTCAGATGGAGGCAGTGTACAAGGTATGTTACCGCCATTGTGCAGGCTACTTTTGTTTGTCTGTGAGTGAATTTTTTACATACAGAGAGCTGAAGTGAAACCGAGTGTTAAAAACTATGAAAATATTACTGCAGCCACTGTCTGTGCTATTCGTGCTTTATTTTTTTTAGTCATTTTTCGAGGTTCTCCGATTCCTGGTGAACTCTTCTATTGCTCCCTTCTCTATTCCAGCCCACTTGTCAACCAGTCAGCATTCTGCAGTTGCAAATATCATCCACTTACAGCGACCTGCAGCCTAGATCTCAAAGGACTGCATGGGAGAGCGTCTTGGGTGGGGGAAAATCCCCCTGTTTGACCAAAAGCTGTACGCAGATGGACACATTTGTGACCATAAAACCAGCCTTAGAGACACTAGCTCAGCAACAGAGTCTTATTTTAATTTTTTTGTATTTTTATAAGACTAATATAGTCATTGCGTAATGACACCTATTAACTATCTTTCTCCGAGTAGTTTTAACTCTGGGAAAACGATTGTGAATCCCATATGGTATCATAACAGAGCCATTTTATAAACAGTTAGTCTGCTTTGGGTAATATAAAATTACATATTTTGTGTATTTTTCTGTTGTTTTTCCTTTAATTTTACAGCCACCAGTTTACTTAGAAAATAGGTTGAAAGATTTCTCAGAGGCACATAGTTGGCACTGAGAATAGATTTTTGGATATACAGTAACTGGTGTAAGAGAGAGTGTCATGCTGAGAAAGTAAAAACCCAACTTTGCAAAAATCTGCACAATTATATATTTTAACTTATTTTAATTAGGTCTTTTGTTTCGCATAACTTTGGTTATGAGTCTATAATTATATCTTTAAGGTATGTCTGGATGAAGAAATTAAGAGCAAACCAAAACATGGAAAATTCATTCTTCATCCAAATGTCATTGTTAATGTGGGCTACTTCAGTGTGAGTAAATAGCCATAATCTTATTTGTATTGTTAATATTTATATATTTTATTCTTGTTCTTAATTAAAATATTTTTTTAAATGGTGTTTCTATTGTCCTCTGTCAATTTCTTTCCTGTGTCCATCAGGATGTATTGTTCTCCAGCTAAAGCGAGGGAGTATGTAATCAATTGAGTTTGTTTGCCTGTCCGTCTGTTTCTTAGCAGTCTGGTTTTTGAGATATCATTTTTGAAATTTTGTGTGACGGTAGATTGCTAAAAACAGCTGTATATTACCCACAGCTTACTCGATCATCTTCAAGCCTCACAACAATAATCCAGGCCTTGGGAGATGTAAGGCCTAGGAGGGCTAAGCATTTGATCTTAACCTTCATTGTTCGTCCCCAAGATCAAAGCTCACCTTCAAGAAATATATGAAGAAACCGTCCATCCATCTTCGTGCTCTTTATCCAGGGCCGGGTCGCGGGGGCAGTGGCCTAAACAGAGAGGCCTAGACCTCCCTCTCCCCAGCCACCTCCTCCAGCTTGTCCGGGGAACACCCAGGCATTCGTAGGCAAGCCAAGAGATATAATTTCTCCAGCATTTCCTGGGTCTGACCAGGGGCTTCCTCCTGGTGGGACTTGCCCGGAACACCTCACCCAGGAGGCATATTTGTCAGTTGCCCGAACCACCTCAGCTGGCTCCTTCCAATGCGAAGAACAGCAGCTCTACTCTGAGCCCCTTTCGGATGGACAAGCTTCTCACCCTATCTCTAAGGGAGAGGCCAGCCACCCATCGGAGGAAGCTCATTTCCACCGTCACTACCCACAGCTCGTGACCATAGGTGAGGGTAGGGACGTGGCTTGCAAAAGTACTCGGCCCCCTTGAACTTTTCCACATTTTGTCACATTACAGCCACAAACATGAATCAATTTTATTGGAATTCCTCGTTAAAGACCGATACAAAGTGGTGTACACATGAGAAGTGGAACGAAAATCATACATGATTCCAAACATTTTTTACAAATAAATAACTGAAAAGTGGGGTGTGTGTAATTATTCAACCCCCTGAGTCAATACTTTGTAGAACCACCTTTTGCTGCAAGTCTTTTAGGGTATGTCTCTACCAGCTTTGCACATCTAGAGACTGAAATTCTTGCCCATTCTTCTTTGCAAAACAGCTCCAGCTCAGTCAGATTAGATGGACAGCATTTGTGAACAGCAGTTTTAGATCTTGCCACAGGTTCTCGATTGGCTTTGGATCTGGACTTTGACTGGGCCGTTCTAACATATGGATAATGTTTTGTTTTAAACCACTCCATTGTTGCCCTGGCTTTATGTTTAGGGTCGTTGTCCTGCTGGAAGGTGAACCTCAAGTCCCAGTCTCAAGTCTTTTGCAGACTCCAAGAGGTTTTCTTCCAGGATTGCCCTGTATTTGGCTCCATCCATCTTCCCATCAACTCTGACCATCTTCCCTGTCCCTGCTGAAGAGAAGCACCCCCAGAGCAGGATGCTGCCACCACCATATTTGACAGAGGGGATGGTGTGTTCAGAGTGATGTGCAGTGTTAGTTTTCCACCACACATAGCGTTTTGCATTTTGGCCAAAAAGTTCCATTTTGGTCTCATCTGACCAGAGCAGCTTCTTCCACATGTTTGCTGTGTCCCCCACATGGCTTGTTGCAAACTGCAAACGGGACTTCTTATGGTTTTCTGTTAACAATGGCGTTCTTCTTGCCACTCTTCCATAAAGGCCAACTTTGTGCAGTGCACCACTAATAGCTGTCCTATGGACAGATTCCCCCACCTGAGCTGTAGATCTCTGCAGCTCGTCCAGAGTCACCATGGGCCTCTTGGCTGCATTTCTGATCAGCGCTCTCCTTGTTCGGCCTGTGAGTTTAGGTGGACGGCCTTGTCTTGATAGGTTTACAGTTGTGCCATACTCCTTCCATTTCTGAATGATCACTTGAACAGTGCTCCGTGGGATGTTCAAGGCTTGGGAAATCTTTTTGTAGCCTAAGCCTGCTTTAAATTTCTCAATAACTTTATCCCTGACCTGTCTGGTGTTTTCTTTGGACTTCATGGTGTTGTTGCTCCCAATATTCTCCTAGACAACCTCTGAGGCTGTCACAGAGCAGCTGTATTTGTACTGACATTAGATTACACACAGGTGCACTCTATTTAGTCATTAGCACTCATCAGGCAATATCTATGGGCAACTGACTGCACTCAGACCAAAGGGGGCTGAATAATTACACACACCCCACTTTGCAGTTATTTATTTGTAAAAACTGTTTAGAATCATGTATGATTTTCGTTCCACTTCTCACGTGTACACCACTTTGTATTTGTCTTTCACGTGGAATTCCAATAAAATTGATTCAGGTTTGTGGCTGTAATGTGACAAAATGTGGGAAAGTTCAAGGGGGCCGAATACTTTTGCAAGCCACTGTAGATCGACCAGTAGAAAAAGCCAATATGAAGAAACCATATTGAGTAATATATCATATGAAAGAGAAGATTTATTTTTTCAATATCTTGTCCTATAATGTCCCATTGGTGCCATAAAAGCTGATGTCATCATATTGTAATAGAAAAATCCTAAAACAAGCACTCTCTTCTTTTTCTTCTTTTTCTTACCTTCTATCATTTTTACACTTACAATTTTGGAACATGGCTAAAAGTTTAAGTGAAACAGGGAACATGTAGTGTGGATGTAATCTCTGTAAACAAGGAGCTCAGGCTTCCGAAGGCTATTGAACTTGTAGGTATATGCACATAACTATCATGATGTGCTACTGACACCTCCTATTTGTGAGGACCAGCCAATGAGAAGAAGGCTGTCTTAAAGGAACAGAGAGCATATCCATACCAAGGCCCAGGAATAAATTGTATGGGAATCATTTTTTAAAAACACAACCTAATTGAGTGTTATTGCTGATCACGTCCATCCCTGTATGACCACAGTGTACTCTCCTCTGATGACTGCTTCCTGTAAAATAACGCACCGTGTCACAAAGTTTAGATAATCTCAAACTTATTTTTGAGCATGAAAATTGCTTCACTGTCCTCAAAGGACCTCCACAGTCAC